TATATATATATATATGTATAAATAATCAGTTATTCTCACGAATCGCTAATTTCTGATTCTCGATAGTCGCTTAAATATCTACCCATGTACGTATAAATCGTCTCTAATCTCTCGTTTCAAAAATAAAATTCTTACGCATATTGCCGATCCGTCAATATTTAAAAAGCGAAATTTCACGAAGAGATACTGTTTATACTCTCCTCGCTGCAGAATTAAAATTCTTATCTCGCTCGAGAATTAAGATTCCAACGTACGCCTGTGTTTCCGATTCGATCCCTGTATCTAAATATACGTAATTTTTCGTATTGAAACCATCTCGAAGGTTAGGTCCTTAACGCGCATTTTTTATAGTTACATAAATTAGTCTTTTTTTTTTTCTACGTGTATCTTTTATGTTAATAAAAATCAAGTATATTTATCAGGCTCGATAAAGTGTGTCCACTAAAGTGTCCGAACACCGGCTAAACGAATATTGCGAGCGTCGGTCCCGGGGACCGACGCCAGCCAAACGAATGGCGAGGCGTCGGTCCGCAGGGACTGACGCCGCCTCGAACGTGTTGAGCAACAGTCCCTTTCGAACCGAGTTCCAATTAACGAGATTGTCGGCGAAACGGCACCGCCATAAATCCTCGGAATGATTCGCGATGCGTGTCCGACCTTGCACCGTTCGTTTCACGTGGAAATTTCCCCGATCGGCGTAATGCAATCGCTCGCGGTAAAGATTGCCGGTCGATTCCGCGCTCGAAAAGCGTCGTTAATCTCTCGTGACGAACGGGAGTTGGACTCTCTGGCGTTGAACCAAACGGGGGAGAAACGCGCGTGTCGATCGCGGAGGAGGTGTGTAGGCGACCCTAGGGTCCGCGGAGATCCCATCGACTTCACTTTCGACTCGACGTATCTCTGACCAGCAAGGACCGACGAACAGAAGGAACAACACGCCGTACGTTTACGAATAGGTGTCAGCGGTGGTTGGTAACCAGTTGGGTTATTTTTAAGCGGTCGCACACCGTCAAAAGCTCTCTCTCTCTCTCTTTCTCTTGCTCACTCGCTCACTCGCTCGACTCCTATTCAAAGCCGCGAATAGAACGCGCAATCTGTCGACATCCCGTCCCGCGTTTCCTCTCTGTGTACGTCTTCCCTCTCGTCTCTTCATTACTCGTTGCATCCATTTCTCTCTTAGCTTAGCTTTGCACTAATTCCCCTGGGTGACTCGATTCTCGTTCGATTTCCGAGTGATCCTTCCATCCAGTCAGTTTCGCTGATCTCTGACCTGTGGAAAAAAAAAGAGAAAAAGATGAGATCCGTACGCGATCTGTTACTCGTCTGGTTAATAAGAGACTGATGGAGAATACGGGTCTTATGTTTCAGGGAAGATGCGGCCTTGCTACTGGAGCTGAAACCGCCCCGCAGACTGCGTCAGACGGAAGGTCCGCAGCCGCAACCGATCACCAAAAAGTAAGACTCAACAAAAAGAAAAAACAAAAAAAAAAAAAAAAATAGTAATCGTCTCGCGTCTCGTCCTTTCCACGTTGCTAGCGCACTCGCAAACGAGTATCAGGAAACCGAACGATAGAAAGACCGATACCGAAAAAAAAAAAAAAAAAGCGAATACTAGAAAAAAAGCA